TTGCATCAAGAGAAGAAAACAAATAATTTTCTTTTTCTTTTAATTTCTTTCAAGGAGTTCACAAACCAAATAAGGAGAAATGTTTTAAAAGCTATAATATGATACACAAAACAATGATAAAAGATGGGCACAGAATATATATTATGGGGCAATTTGCTCCCCATGAGAAAGTAGCAGAGGGGGTAACATTTGAACAAGGCTTTGATGGACAAATGTGACCATCAGAGAGGCCAGACATTTACGAAGTGGAACTGCTTGACAAGTTTGCCAATGTGAATACATGTGATATTTTCCAAGAACAATGTGTCAGATCGGGGATGAGAGTGAACAATGATCTGATACAGCTTGATATCAGAGATGGTACAATTTGGTTTCCAATTCTACAACTCTAGGTTTCTATGCTGCCCCTGTAGATCAGAGTATGAAAACTAAATCTAGTTTACAGATGTCTTTTGTTTAGTCTACAGTGTTTTTAAAAACCCTAACTGGATGCCAACATTAAAAGTCAGGAGATTTCGTGTACAAATGTGAATTTCTGACTTTCCTTGAAAAACCAGATGGTGCGTCAAGACTGGCCAGCATTTCACAAGGCCACCTGAGGCTATGGTGGCAGGTCCATTCGAGGGGACAGGCAGGCAGGCCAGACTTTTCCAGAGTGTCCTCCGCACTTGCTCCCACAGTTTACCTGCTCGGCACCATGAACTCTGAGCTTACCGCCCTGGGCTCAATGTATTTACACTGACAAAAAAAATTACGAGATTTAAGATGACTTTAAAAAAATTGTTTAAAGATCTCACTTATTTATTTTTAGACAAAGGGGGAGGGTGGGAGAAAGAGAGGGAGAGAAACATAAACATGTGGTTGTCTCTTGTGTGACCCAACTGGGGACCTGGCCCAAAACCCAGGCCAGGACTTTTGCCTGGGTGGACTTTTTATTTTTGATTTGTAAGCATTCTTTGTATATTCCAAATAAATTTATTTAATTGAATATATACTAGAATACATTGTCCCAATCCATGGCCTGCCCTTCACTCTTATAATAATACCTTTTGACAAAATGAAATCTTAATCTTTATGAATGTCAGTTTATCAACTTCTTCCTTTATTATCTGTGCTCTTTTAACCTGTTTTAAATTTTATATTTGAACTGGTCATTGCTGAGACATTTATGCCCACAACTATATAAAGATAATGTGATTGTTCCTTATATACTAACCTCATAACCAACAACTGTAATAAATGTATTAATTTCATGTACTCAATAACAGTGTATTTTCTTATCTTACTGAGCATTCTGAGACTTACATGACAATGCTGAATGGAAGTTATATATGTTATCTATTACCAACATAACAAATCTGTACATCTAGTAGCTTAAAACAACAAGCATTGATTATTTCATAAGCCAAGGATGTGGGTGAAGTTTATCTGAGTCCCTCTGGCTCGTGATGCCTCACAAGACCATAATCAAACCAGTCAGCCAAGGCTGTGGCCTTGTAGAAGACTTCGGTGGGGAAGTGTGGTGGAGGTGATTAATTTCTAGTCTCACTAACATGTTTGTGGGCAGGCCACGCTCCCTCACTAGTTAGACATTTTCACAAGTCTACGTCAAGACACAACAGCTGGCTTCTCCCACAGACAGTGATTTAAGAGAGAACAAGAGAGAGTGAGAGTCTACATAGAAACATGGAAATGACCATCTTTTTATAATCTAATCTCAGAATATCACCCATCATGTCTGCCGTATTAAATTTTTTTAAGGTAAATCAACAAACAAAGCTGACCTTCTCTCAAGAAGAGAGGATTAGCCCTGGCTGATGTGGCTCAGTGGATTGAGTGCAGCCTGTGAACCAAAGAGTTGCTGGTTTGATTTCCAGTCAGGACACATGTCTGGGTTGTGGGCCAGGTCCACCCAGTAGGGGACATACAAGAGGTAACCACACATTGATGTTTCTCTCCCTCTCTTTCTCCTTCCCTTCCCCTCTGTCAAGAAATAAATAAATAAAATCTTTTAAAAAAAGAGGACAAGATTACACAGGAGCATGAGTACCAGGATAAAGGGACCTCGTAGCGGGTGGGACATCTTGGATGTTGCCTACTACACAACCGGTGATGAAGAGCTTCCTGGCCCCATTCCTAATCTTCATGCAATACTGTCAATATTTCACTGTTAAGTTTACTCTTTGTTGTATATTTTTAATCATCTCTTTAGATTGAGAAGGTCCTTGTCTACTCAAAATTGTTAAAAAGTTTTCCTTAGCCATGCACATATATTGAATTTCATTAAATGCTTTCTCTGCATCTATTGAAATAATCATGTGATTTTTCTTCTTTGTTTTGTTAATGTGTAAATTTGAATTAATTAATTTTTAAGTGTTAATCAGTCTTTTCCTGATAAGAACCGAAAGTGGCTGTGGTGCTACACTTTTTACACATCAATGGGTTTTATTTGCAAATGTTTTGTTTAGGATTTTTGTTTGTTTTGTTTTGTTTTTGCTAATGATCATAAGAAAGATTGACTGATAACAGCCCTTTCTTGTAATGTCATCATTAGGAATTGCTATGAGTTTTCCTCTAATAAACTCATATAAAATGAATTTGAGAGTGCTCCTTACTTCCCAGAATGTGTATAAAACTGATATTATTCTCCTTTAATGTTGGAAAATATGATCCACAAAGCTAGTTGGGGAGGGGGGTCTGAAGATTTCTTTGTTGGATTTTTTCATTAAAAATGTTAGCATTTTAATAAATGTCATTCTATTCGAATTTTCTATTTCTCCTATCACTTCTCTTAAAACAATTACACATTCAATCTGAGATTTAAATTTATTGTTGTTTATAAAACCCTCAACTTTTTAATGTCTATAGTATCTATAATGTTATCTCTCTCTTATTTATTATAATGCTGATATTTTATTTCTCATTACTTTTTTTCTTGACTGGTCAAACCAGAGTTTTATTACTTTTAATGTTTCCAAAGAACCAAATTTTGACTCTTTGATATCTATTATATCTTCGTTTTCTACTTCATTAACTTTATCAATTCTCTTATGTTTATTTCTCACTTCTACTTTCTTTGTATCTAATTTGCCTCTTTTTTTCTAATTATTTGAAATAACTATTATATTGTTAAGCTTCACTCTCTCTTAATTTCAAATACATCTAATCCTGGCTTTGAATTCCCCTCTCATTAAGGTTTTAATTGCATTCTAAAAGGCTTAATGTACTTCTTATTTCATTCAGGTTAAAATATTTTTATTTGTGTTATGATTGTTTTTTTGACCCATTGGATATTTAAAACTGTTACTGTTTTCAAAGTTTTCTACCATTTGAGGATTTATAGAAATTTTAAGAATTTTTTTTCTAGTTTAATTTCACTCTGGGTAGAGAATGTAACCTGACAGATTTTAATACTTTCAAATTGTTTGAGACTAACTTTATGGCTCAGCATATGATCAATGTTGCTAAACATTCTCAGTGTTCTGGAATTGGTGTTAGAGTTATTGGGTATAGTGATGTATATATGTGTCAATGAATAAATCACATTTTATAATTCTACTTTTTCTTTAACTGTTTGCTCTGTTAGTCACTGAGATGAGCGTGTCATAGACTACCATGATGACTGCACTTGTCCATATATTTTGAAATTTTTTGTTAATTTCTGCTTTACATATGGTATTTTGATGCTTCCTTTTTGTGTTATACAATGTCAGTACTGTTATCTTTTCCTGGTGGATTAGGTATTTAGGCTTGTTTTTGTTAGTTTAGTGGGAATATGATTCACATATAGTACAATTCACCCACTTAATATGTAAAGTACAATGGACTTAAGTGCATTCATGTTGTTGCACAATGACCACTACAATCAGTTTTAGAATATTTTCATCACTACTAAAAGAAGTTGTGTTTATTTTAAATTCCATGACTAGTAACGCTGGTACATGGGTCAGCTATGGGCTGTTTCTTGTAACTACTGCTGTGTTTACATTTATTTTGTCCTGGCTCCTCACATACTTGGTCATTTTGAATGAATGCTGGGCATTGTAAATAAAATACTTCACAGGCTCTATGTCATGTTATTTTTTTTTCAGAGAAAACCTTTTTCTCTTCTGGTTAGATTGTGGGCAAATCTCCTTAAATCCAATCAAGAATTCAGATAATTCAAGCCCAAATTTCTATCTTCGTAAGTGCTGGTCTATTTCTAATTACTGCTTTATTCTGAGGATATAGCTTTCCAAACATCCCAAATGAGATGTTGGAATATTTACCAGGCACCTCCTTTGAAATGCTCTAAAATGCAGGTTTTGTCTTACCAGTAAAACGAGTTTGCTAAAAAGCTGTGCTTAATTAACATTTTAGCTTCTAGCTGCTGTTCTCTGCTTTCTGGTATGCTTTTACTACATGCCATTTACAACTTTGCAAATGCTTTGAGGGTAAAACCTGTATTTTAGAATCACTTCTCTGAAGTTCTCCTTCTTGAGTCATTAGACCTTCAAGTTCCCCCTAGCTTAATAACCCTGAACATCAATTTTTGTCTCCTCAAGCTAGTGAGACTACAGACGGCTTGAGCTATCTCTTTTCTGGTTGGCTTCTTAGCCCTGCATCTCTTACAAATTAGTCAATGCCTCTTGGAGAAAAGTAACCAGGAATATTAGGATCACCATGATGCACTTTTCTTCAAAATCACAGTTGCTCTCTAAGGCTTCAAACAGCTAGGGATTCTTATTTTCTTTTGCTCCTAATTTACCCACATTTTATAGGTATCTAAGTAGAATAATAGGCCTGTACAAAAAAAAGCAGAAGTCACAGACTATTAAAGATTGGCAGATGGAAAAATTTTTGTATGAGCTTCAGGTCATCATTATTGCCAATACTGAAATTTTAACATTTTCCCTGTAAAATTAAATCTGATTTTGTTATCTAGGTACATAGAAATTTATAGCTATAAAATATTTCAGCATATGTCTCTTTCTAATTCCCCTATTTTGCAAAAGACTCACCAATGAAGGGGTTGAGATTAGAACACACAGCCTCCTGCTCTCAGTCCGTGGTGCCGCATGAATAATACCACCATATTCTCAAAGCTTCATAATTATATTCTCCTAAAACTGCAGCAGGGTTATTTTTTTTAGCTGCAGTGACTTGAGAATGAATGTACTCTTGAAGTTATGCAAATGGTTTCTATAAATACATCAACATATTGTAGTCAGATCAGTCTCCCAAGGTGGAAATGATCATCCTTTCATTCTGCATCTTTTATTAAACAAACAAACAAAAAAAAACAACCCACATGTTCCAGATCAATGAATGACAACACGTGCGGGCAGATTCATGCTTGAAACAAACCTAGGGCAGGTATAATGGTTCCGGAGCTGGAGAAATGTCCACATCTATCGGTGGGGACTTGGGGAGTAAAACCAGAGAAGCCCATTAATCTGAAGTAAATTATAGCACCTCGGCCCCGTTTCAGCAGAACAACTCCCCTGTTGGTACTTTCGCTGCTGCCACTAACTGTAGTTAAAGAAAGTTCATGTTTCTCAGGAGGCCCTAGTACAGGAAAGGCATCTTTAATTTTGAAAAACAGGACAAATCTCTCTCTCTCTCTCTCTCTCTTCCCCTAACAAGTGCTTTCACAGGCCCGATGGTGGGAGTGGAATTCTGTAGGCGGTGTCTACGTATTGCTTTGGTCCCCAAAGACCAAGCATATTAAGTTAACTCTACTTGTTGTAAAGTCAACATGGGCTCTACCAGAGACTGGCATTTGGAAGTCTCTCAACAAAACCTGGACGGAGCGACTTTCAGCACGCCCGTCATGTGACCAGGCTACTGCCTGGTGTGAATGAGACACCCTGTACAAAGACTCTTCAAGGGCCGGCTATAAAAACACAGAATTCTGCCTGGTTACCCATGTGAAACTTTATTTCCCCAGTGCTTATTCTTCCTGAAATGAAGTCCACTCCCTTGAGAGATATGGGAATTTGCTTAAGCAGCTGGAGAGTCATAAAAAGGCAGCTCCTAGTATTTCCTGCCCTGCAGCCAGGGAACACAGTTGGAACTAGGAACCATTCTGCTTATTACACATCAACACATTGCTCCTACAGGAGGTAAATAAAGGTTTTATTTTGAGAACATGGGGATTTTGACCATGTCATCTTGTTTTCAGAGCTTGGTTAATATTATCCGTGATAATTACCACCTAGAAATTCATTAAACATTCAATCAGCTAAGGCCACGGAAAACAATGTTTTCACTTATTCTTGACTCCTGAAATCTGTCAAAGGACACCACAAAACTCTTGTCAGGTAACCAAGAAAAGCAAATAGATTATTTTTTAAAAACCACAATTTATTTCTTAGATGGTATCAGGCACAACAAGAATTTTCTGAAAATGGTCTATATTTTAATTGGAATCTGGGTCAAACGGATGCACGCATTTGTTGAAGCTCACCGGGTTTTACACTTATGACCTGTACCCTGTACCGTATATAAATTGTACTTTGAAATAAAACAGTCAGAGGAAGAAAGGAAAGAAGACTCGCACTTCCTGGCATGAATCATAGATGTCATTTACTGAGAGAAGGACTCAGGAGCTCTTTTCGGAGTTATCAGAAGGACCGGGTGGGAGAGGCAGTCAGGGGTGGGACTACCAGCCAGGCAGCCTGTTCATAAAAAGCCTTCTATATGACATTTGACTTTCTATTGCTTATGTGATTCCCTCAATGCACCTGTAGCTTTATTATTCTGTCACCTAACATTCCTTCTGAAAACAGGAAAAACATAAGTAATCAACACATTTAATTATTATGCCCTAATATCACCAGCTCAGCACAGCACCGGCCCCTCTTGACCTCACAGCTCTTCGAACCAATCCTAGTTTATTTGGTAACGAGCCCGTTGGCCCATACAGAGTGGTGTTCACTTTCTGGTCCGCAGTCACTCCATCAGAGCTGTAAGGAAAAGATGGGCACCACCAACTAATGTCCTGTCTAGTGAAGGCAAAAAAGTTTCATTTTTAAAAACAACTTCCTGTTTCTTTCCCCTCCCCCGCTATCTTCCTGAGCTTTCTTTTCTGCAATATTGTAGTTGTCGCCACTAAAGGACAATTAACGAAAAAAATTCCACAGAGTTCCAGATGTAATTTTAAAATAAAAGACTATGGTATTTTCTTTCAAACCTGGAAGATATGTTAAAACAATACTTTGTCAGTGTGTCTTAAAGAAATGTAGCTATTCTCTGATTTCCTCTAGTGACTCTCCGATCATAAATCTTGTACTAAAAAAATAGCTTTGGGGAAATTAATAAACATGCCCAAATAATGCTTTTGCTGTTTGTGTAAATGGTTAGAGCTTATAATAAATGATTAATATTAATTTGGCCCTGATTTCCAATGAGACTATTGCCAAGCTGTTTCCTTTCAGAACAAAAGAGACAACTCTGAAAAATCAATTCCATTAAGCAGAATGCCTTGGGACTCTTTGAGTGGTTCACCTGAAATCCATTATTCCTATAAAATATTTTCACCTAAAACCAGAAATTAGGCTGTCATTTTGTACAATGGGGTCTGGAGACAAGAAAGCACAATGGTATAGTGTTACTTTCTCAATTTTCTTTGTTTTAAATTTCTTTGAAGATTTTATTTATTTATCTTTAGAGGGGAAGGGACAGAGAAAGGGACAGAAATATCAATGTATGGTTGCCTCTCATGAGCCCCCTGCTGGGGACTGGCCTGCAACCCAGCCATGTGCCCTGACTGGGAATCGAACTATGATCCTCTAGTTCACAGGCCCACCCTCAATTCACTGAGCTACACCAGCCAGGGCTCAATTTTCTTATTTATTGTTTTAAAAAAAAGGTCCAATACAAAATACTATGGATGCAGGTGGAAAGATTAGTAGATGAAGAGTCCAAAAATCTTGTGTTGCAATAGGCTAGTTGAATGATTTTACGTGAGGAATTGGAAATCAAGGATGATGGTAGTGGTAAATGACAGCAAGGACCTGAGAAGAGTATTAAGAAATAAGCAAAATGGGTTCAAGACACACTCATACTAGTAAATGGGAATATTACTTCAAGGAGTTCTCTTTCTCTTTCTAGAGCAGGGATGTCAAACTCATTTTCACTGGGGGGCCACGGCAGCCTCACAGTTGCCTTCTATGGGCCAAAAGTAACTTTAGGACTGTATAAATGTAACTACTCCTTCACTAGGGGCAAGGAGTTCAGTGCTGTTGTTGGGTAGAAACAAAGTGCTGGACTGGATAAAACAAGGTGGGGAGCAGGATTCGGCCCACGGGCCTGGTGTTTGCCCCTGTGTTCTGAGGCCCTGTTCCTTCATAGGCTAAATGAGAGCACAGTTCTGGGTCATCTCCAGCCCTCCATCCCACCCTAAGATTCTGTGCAGAGTGCTATGAATAGATAGTTATGCTCAGTATTTACTTGTAGTATTTTAAATCTCACAAGAAAATCTCAACATAAAAAAAATAATAAACGCACTTACATCTTCCTGTAGTTTGTAACTTTCCACAATAGAGTGACCGCATCTTCATTTCCCTAGTAATGGTCATTTACAGATCGGAAAGTGAAATTAGCAAAACAGCAGATGCTTTGGCACATCTCTTTCTTCCGAATACTTGACTTCCTCTGACTGCACCAAAAGTCTTATTTGCTTAGGGAATGGGAATCAGCCTTAAGGATCTCAACTGGCTGCCAGGTCAGGGTCACCTAAAGGGCAAAGGACAGCCAAGGCAAATAATTCAAAACTCCCCAAACTTAAAGTAGCCTGCTTCCTTGTTTTCTTTCCAATGTGCTTCCACATAGTCTGATTCTGATTACTGAGTTAATGGGGGAATTTTGAGGTTTGGACTTCGTTCCTCAGCCTTGGTTATGACTGTCCGATCCACTGGTCCAAAGCGTGCCATTTACTGTTCTTGAAATTTTATTTCCTTCTTTCTGCAAAATGAGTAGCAGTTGTCTGCTCATCAGGAATGATTATTCTACCTTGGTGTGTTCACTCTCACATTATTTACTATCTATATAACTAAAAGGATCCAAAGAAAAATTATATATTGCACAAATTATACACTTAAACGTTAATAAACAAAAAAGCATACAGCTGAGAACAGCTGTTTACATTTTGCTTTGGGGCCCTAATGCAGAGCCAAGTGAATAAATAAGAACTAAATTATTTCTCCAGGAACTTCAACAGTAGGTGGCACTAAAAAATATATGTTTTCTAAAGCTTGTGTATAGTATTTATTGAATCACCACCTCCTCATCCTGGATCAGAGTCCTTTTCCCCTTACGTGAAATTAACACCATTGAATCTAAATACAACGTGTGGCCAGGGGTTTTGTTCTTGTACCTTGTGAAGTTAATGAGGCCAAGCCTGGTGCTTCAGACAGAGCTAATGACACTACCTAGAATTGTAAAACCCCTTCCTACTTACAGTTGTGATCTAAACATAGCAATCACCCTAACCTGCCTGGGAATCATACCAAGTCCTTGGCAAAGCTGGAGTTTTAGGAGGCAGAGCAGCAAGAGTAAATTATCAACAGGTTGAGAGAGGGAAGGTTGAGGAGATGCTGCGGACGTGCTCAGCATCCCACAGGAATGCATTTGTTATGACGCTGGGGGTTCTGACAAATGTAATTTCTGTCCCTGGAGGATACAGAAAGAAGGAAAGGAGTGACAAAGAAAAGAGAGCTCTGTGCTAAATTCTGTGCTAGATCCTAGAGACACGCACATGAATAAAAAACATGTTTCTAATCTTGAGACTCTCTTAGTCTCAGGAGGTAGAGGCAGTATGCATACATAATCATGAGAGTGTGTGAAAAAGTCAGAGTAGTATAGTTACTTCCTTCTGTCCTCCCAACCATAACGAATGGTGAAACCACATAGTATAGCTGTTAAGACCCTGAGTTTCAAGTTCAGATCCACATGAGGCCTCCAGCCCAGCTCTGCCATGACTAAGTGTGTGTGCTTCTGTAATCACCAAATAACTCTTAATCTTCAGGATGGTTAGCTGTGATGTGGGGTGGGGAAGGGTGGTAGCAATACCACTTATGTCGCAGAGATGACCATAAGA